CGTACAGTACTTTTTTTGTCACACATATATCGCGGTCGTAAGCGGTCGTAAGGTTGTCGTAAGGTTGTCGTAAGCAGTCGTAAGGTTGTCGTAAGCAGTCGTAAGTTGGTCGTAAGCGATCGTAAGCAGGTCGTAAGATGGTCATAAGTTGATCGTAAGCCGGTGGGGCCTTACTACACATATATATACATATATAGATACACGCATATATTCTGGCACATCTTTAAAACATCGAAGGCATTGATTGTTTCTTTGGTAGTCCTTCTCGGGATAGTAGGCAATGTTTTACAGCAGGCGCGTTAAATAATTTTCACAGCGGGCGCATTGATTGTTTCTTTAGCAGTGCTTTTTAGGATAGTTGAGGGACATTTTGTTCTGGGGAGTAGCAGCTGGTTAGACAGCCCGTTTTGGGATTGTTAGCTAGCAGTTACATCGGTTACGGGCTTTGTTTCTGTAAAAGTATTTCTTAAAATATATTAAAAAGTACATAGAATATGGCGAACCTGCATTGTTATATTTGCGATAGACGATTTCCTCGTAGAACAATGTCTTGCATCGATGGAGAGGAAAATGATGCAAAACTGAATATAGCGGTCCAGAGACGTAACGCCTTTAATAGGTGTGCCTTGGAAGTAACAGATCTCACTCGAATATGTATAAATTGCAACCAGTCAATTCGTCAAGAAATACAAGCGATTGAAGAGGATCCTGGTCGTTTACGATTAAACGTTTTATCACAAACTAGGAATGGCACGTGCCTTATATGTAACGCCGAGGTAGACCTGCATCGATTGTCAATTGAATGTAAAGCTAATGTCTTTATCTGCAGAAACATATACATTCCTGAAAATGTTAAATCATGTCAATATCATTTGGATGGTCGAGGCTTTTTGCTACCAGCTCTGTTACTTGGTTTGCAATCTATTAATAGACCGTATGTGATCAGAGGACCGGAACTGCAAGTATTTTTGCAGGGACTGCGCGATGTAGCAACTAGTATGACGCGAATTGATGACGAATCCAGCTTAACAGATGAGGAATTCGAATGTTTCTCTCCAATAACAAAAGATCAATTTAGAGAACTATTTACTTACTGTGACAGAGTTCCTCGTGAAGGAGGTTATAGGTATGTTACTAAAAAACATCTGTTAATGTTTTTGTGCAAAATGCGACAAGGGCTTTCAGATGACTTTGTCTGTGCTATGTTCCAATATTCAAGCAGGCAAGCAACAAGTTTGGCTATTGCTACTGCAAGACAATCTCTGATGCAGCGTTTTGTGCCTGCCAATATTGGTTTCGACGCAATTACGCGAGAGAATTATATTGCCAGACATGTAACTGAATTCGCCAATGAATTGTACAACCCGGATCCCATTACTCCTAGAGTCATAGGAATTACAGATGCTACTTACGCGTATATGCCGAAAAGTACAAACTTCAGAGCACTTCGACAGTCATATTCTGTCCACAAAGGACGTCACTTATTGTTAGTCAAACCGGTATTGATAGTTGCGCCCGATGGCTGGATTCTTCATATTCAAGGTCCATACTTTTCTGATCATTCGAACAATGATGCTGCTATTTTGCGAAATGAATTTGATCACGATGCGCAGAGAATGAGAAGATGGATTCAGGAAGATGATATTATGATTGTCGATAGAGGGTACCGAGATGCCATTCCACTTTTCGAACAATTAGGCATAACTTGGGAAATGCCAGCGCTGCTGAATCGAAATGAACGTCAGCTTAGTACTGAAGATGCAAATGAGTCGCGGCTTGTTACAAAATCAAGATGGATAGTAGAAGCCAGAAATGGCCATCTTAGATCAATATTTAAAATCTTCCAGCATACTGTACAGATTCAGCATATTCCGAATATTGTAGACTTTTATCGAATAGCTGGTGCAATTATAAATAGATACCACCCTATAATTTTGATGGAAGGAGCCAATGCTGAAATGGCTCAACGACTACTTGAACGTGCCAGGGAACCAAATGTTGTTCAGGCACTCGTGGAAGCTGAAAATCTTCACACAAGAAACGCGCAAAGATGGGTTCGTTTAAATGCTGGTCAAATACAGGACTTCCCAATTTTAACAATTCAAGATTTAAAAGACCTTACGTTCGGTATTTATCAAGTAAAGTTGGCCCCTTCATATGTACAAGATAAATTGCAGCGAGAAGCGGAAGACGAACTACAGGTAGAGATGTTGAGAGATCAAAATAGACTGCCTCAACCAGGTTTTATTAGAGTTCGAGTCTTTTCTCGATTTCGTAACAGTACAAGATATCAGCTTTGGATTTCCTATATACCAACTGATGAACAAAATGAAACAATGGAGGATGGAGAAGATGAAAACGAAAATCCTATACAAGGTTATTATTGTTCCTGCAAGTCTGGTGCTCGGACTGTTGGCACATGTGCACACATTGCAAGCGTTGTGTGGCTCTTGGGTTATGCGCAATACGAAGAAAATGTCCATTATCCATCTACAAGACTAATTGAGTCCATACAGGATGCAGGAAATAGACCACTGTAGAATATTGAATTATAGAAAAATCAGCCCTTTTAAGGGCTATACGATGTATAAAATCCGATCGCGCAACCTCCACGTGGTATACATCGGGTAACGCTGATGCCGACGGTTCCTGGGTTTCATATACAATTATCTATCCAAACTCGCTTTTAGGAAACCTACGTGTAAAACCAATATTTTTTTTATAAAACTTTTATAAAACCAATGTAGGGGAATACTCTGTAGACATATTCCCCACCCCATCTCTTCTGTCTATCATGCCTCAAACTTATATCCCTTCAGAGGAGGCTGCTCCCCCCGCCCCCTTCCCCGCCGCTAAAAGTATCCTAACCTAACCTACAATAACTTTTTTTCCCAGTTTAAGAAACCTGGCCTAGTTGTACAGGATATACCCGCATACTGAAGCTTTGATACTCTGTACCTCGGAAACTAGCAATTTTCAGACCTCGTATCCATTGAAGCTTTTGATCAGAATATATAGAAGAACAATATTCTGGAGTTTTACGGAATTTGACCGGGAACCAATTTCCATAAGATTGGTGCGGGGTCCTTTTCAGATTTTTTTAAGCATAAATAACAAAGTTGTCCGTGTTTAAAATTGACGGACAAAAACGGACAAATTGGGTCAATAAGGGTTAACCAGGTGTGTGACAAGGTTGACGCATCCGGCGCATCCGATTTGGTCGGTTGCAGTTCAGTTTGGACTGGCAGAAGGCACAATTTCGTGAGCGGCCGCTTGCACTCGGACCGAGCGGTCCGAACGGAAACTACGCGGACGAGTCCGTCGAGGCCCGGGTTGCAAGCCACCACTCGACCAAGAGCCCACCTGCAAGGCGGCAAAGTAGAATCGCGCAGTAGTACCATCGTTCCGATTCGGACGGAAGGTTGGGCTTGCCGCCATTTACTACGCTGTTGCAGCGTGTTCACATAATCGTGCTGCCAATGCTTCCAAAACTTTTCGGCAAGTTGTCTAACTCGTTGCCACCTCGAGAGTCGGTTTTCGTTCAGATTAAGAACGGATGGTTCGGGAGACATGTTGAGGGCTGAACCGACCAGGAAGTGACCGGGTGTGAGAGCATCGTAATCGTCTACCGAATCCGAGAGAGGACCGAGCGGTCGCGAATTCAAACAAGATTCAATTTTACAGAGAAGCGTCGTCAGCTCCTCGAAAGTGAGAGTATGCGTACCCACCACGCGGCGCAAGTGATGCTTGAGGCTACGTACGCCCGCCTCCCACAGCCCTCCGAAGTGAGGAGCATGAGGGGGCATGAACTTCCAGGCGACGCGGTCGAAAGCGGTGCTATTCTGAAAGGCCGGGTCTCTCAGGGCATCTTGATAGGCCCGTGTCAATTCCCGGTCGGCACCCGTAAAGGTCGTGCCGTTATCCGAATACATCATCCCCGGTAATCCCCGTCGCGCAGTAAAGCGAGTATACGCGTCCAGAAAGGCTGGAGTGGAATATCCTCCCACTAATTCCAGATGGATAGCGCGAGTGGCTAGGCACACAAAGACGGCAATGTACGATTTGTGAGTCTTGTACCCCCTTCCCCCCGACGATCTGACGGCGATCGGTCCGGCATAATCCACGCCGCAGTGAAGGAAAGGTCGATTGGAAGCAGTTACACGAGACTGCGGCAACTGACCCATTAGTTGAGTCGGCACCGCAGCTTGTTCTCGCACACAAGGAACACAGCTATGAATGACTGATTTGACAAGTGAGCGAGCACGAAGGATCCAATACTCTCTCCGCACTGTGGAGAGAGTGAGCTTAACTCCGGCATGAAGAGTTCTGATATGTGCATGTTTAACTATTAAAGATACAAGCGGATGACTTTTTAGAAGGATTGGATGACGCGAACGTATTGGAAGAGACGCATCCTCCAACCGCCCGCCGACGCGCAGAACGCCGTCGTTATCGAGGTATGGATTGAGTGGCAGAGTAGGACTTCTGGAGTGAAGAGGTTGGCCCTTATGCAGCGACGCCAGCTCGCGAGGGAACGACTCCGTCTGAATGGATCTCAGCCAGAAAAGCTTGGAGCGCTGACACTCGTCCGTGGTGAGATCGCTCGACGGGGAGCTATCGGCGACATTCGCGTCCCGGCCACAACGACAGCAGTCCACGAAACGCATGACATAAGCCGTGACTCGAACGAGCCTGGGACATGTCGAAAATCTGGACGCTAGGTCCCAACCCTCGTCCACCACCGCCTGCCCGACGGTAGTGCGTGCCTCCGCCCGAGTTTCGCGAGGCGACGGATTGAGTTGACTGCCGAAAGCTCTGACTGGCCAGTCACCCTCCTCGAGCCTCAGCCAGGACGGTCCCCGCCACCAGAGGGGATGTGACGCGAGCTCCGCACCCAGCAATCCTCTTGACGCACAGTTGGCGGGATTGTCGGCTGTCGGAACATGACACCACTGAGAGGGCGGAAACCTCGAACGGATGAACGCAACTCTGTGAGCCACAAAAGTTTTCCAGTTTGACGGATCGCGACTCAACCAGGCTAACGCTACTGCAGAATCGGTCCAACAGTGACACGCGAGAGTAGGAATGTCGAGTGAGACTCGCACAAAATCCATCAAGCGAGATTTGACGGATCGCGATTCAACCAGGCTAACGCGACTGTAGAATCGGTCCAACAGTGACACGCGAGAGTAGGAATGTCGAGTGAGACCCGCACAAAATCCATCAAGCGAGTGAGCAGCACTGCCGCCGCTAGCTCGAGCCGCGGAACGCTTGTCGGCCTGACTAGCGCCACCTTTGATTTGGCGGCCAGGAGCGTCACGACAACTTCCCCGGATAGAGACGTGACGCGCATAAACACGGCAGCGGCGTAAGCGACGGAGGACGCGTCGGCGAATCCGTGCAACTCGCAGCCGGCCGTGTCCGAACCGCGACTCGTCCATCTAGGCAGCGTCAAGCCGTCGATGCTTGACAGAGATTGATAGATGGATGTCCAACGTGACTGAACATCCGGCGGGATCTCGTCATCCCAATCGCATCCGCAGCGCCACAGTTGCTGCATGAGAATTTTTGCCGCGACGATGACTGGAGCGACCCAGCCCATCGGGTCAAAAAGCCTGGCAATAGTCGAGAGAATTGCCCGCTTGGTCTTAGAGACCTCGGGCGAAACGTGGACATGCACTTGGAATACGTCGAGCGCTGGTTTCCACGACAATCCGAGAACACTCAGTCGCTCGTCAGGCTGCATAATTTTATTGCAAGCAAGTCCGTGATCGTCTGACGGAATGTCAGTCAAAAGCTCGGCGCGATTACTCGCCCACTTTCGTAATTTAAAGCCGCCACTCTGAAGGAGCGAGCAGACTTGATCTCGAGCCTGACGAAGCAACGGAATGTCCTCAGCCCCGAACAGCACATCGTCCACATAAATGTTATCTTTGAGAACGGCTGAAGCGAGAGGAAATCGGTCACCCTCATCGACAAGAAGCTGCTTCAGAACACGAAGAGCTAGAACAGCCGACGCAGTGCGGTATGTGACGGTCGCCAATTGATAATCTTGAACGGTTTGGTCATCCGAAACCCAGAGAATTCTTTAATAATTATGATCGCGTTGGTCGACCATAATCTGTCGGTACATTTTTGCGATGTCGGCACTGTACACGTACTTGTGCTGCCGCCACCGCAGGAGAACAGCGACCAAATCTGCTTGGAGTTTTGGTCCCGAGAGAAGATGAGAATTGAGTGATGTTCGAGGTTTCGCAGGAGGCATTGAACACCACGCGAACACGCGTCGTGGAACTGGATTCCCGAATTACTGGGTGATGCGGGATATAGACTGTCTGTGTCGAATCGGACGATGGAGGAGGCACTCGACTCATGTGCTCGAGTTCCTCGTACTCTGACATGAATGCGGAGTAAGCTTCTTTTAAATCCGGATTACGCGACAAACGACGAGTTAATCCCGTGAGCATCCCTTTCGCGTTTGACCGAGATTCGCCTATATCGATAGGAGGGCTATTGCGGAAAGGAAGACGCACTGCGTACCGCCCCTCGGGGTCGCGAGTGTGCGTTGAGAGAAAGTGCTCCTCGCACTGCCTGTCTTCGGGGGAGGTAGTGTCCACTTGAGGGACCTCCTCGAGTTCCCAAAACTTGCGCAAATCATGTTCGAGCGAACAGTGATTAGCAACAATCTGGCAGGAAGGAACAGCTGTGCCCCCCGTAGGGCCTGAAAGAACCCAGCCTAAGTGGGTATTCTGAACGATGGGTTGATCGGCGGGTCCCCTGCGGACACCGTCGATGAGAATTTGCGAGAACAAATCAGCTCCGATCAGCACATCGATTTGTTCCGATCCGGTGGGGTCAGCATCAGCCAATGTGAGATCGGCGAGATGTGTCCACGCTGAGCTGAGAGGAGTGCCACGCGGTACGTATTTGGTAAGAGACGGCAAAATGTATGCGAGCGTCGAGAACGCCGGACCGAGGCCATCGCGCGAGGTAATTTGAAGTTGCGCGACGTGTCGACACGTTCCGGCGGAAGCGCAACCCACCGCAGAAATGGATGTGAGTGTCCGCATGCGACGAAGTCGCAGAGTTTGAACAACTCGTTCAGTGACCAACGTTACCTCAGAACTCTGGTCGAGCAGGGCCCTAACTTGCACCGAGCGCCCCGACGGAGCGCTTACAATGATTTGAGCCGTCGCGAGTAAGACCGGCGACGGAGTCGCAGTTAATGCGACGGATGAGCAAGCGACGACCGGTTCGGAAGCCGGTGAGGGCGAGGCCGCGTTCGCGTCGACTGCGGTCGCGCTCATATTCGTCGGAGAAGGCGAGTCAACGTGCAACGTTGTATGATGCCGTTGTTGGCACGTACGACAAGAGTATTTACTTTGGCAAGAATTGACTACATGTTTCTCACTCAAACAATTGAAACACCGCTTTTGTTGTTTGACGAGATCGCGACGTTGATTAGAGCTTTTGCCGACGAATTGCGTACATTTACTTAACAGATGATTCTTTTTACAAAGAGAGCACTTTATTTCCGACGCGACTGACGCGGCAGAACTCGTCGCAGTTTGACGCACCGATTTGGATGTCGCGATCGGTTTGAGCTCTTCGAGAGCGTGAGCACGCGATGATATAAATTTAACAAGATCTTGATACGAAGGAGGGAGAGAGTCGCTGCCTAATTTTAATTTTCACGCGCGTCGCGTAGCCGGGTCAAGTTTTTGTGACAGTGAGTAAACGAGGATGTCGTTCAAGATGTCTTCGGATGATCGATCGAGACGTTGTAACGCCGCGAGCGCTTTGTCGACCTTATCTCGAAGAGCGTGCAATTCGGACGCCGATTCACGCGACATCGCCGGAAGATTATAAAACGTTGCTACGTGAGTCTCGATTAATCGACGTTTGTTCTCGTAACGCGCACCTAGTGCCTTCCAGGCAACATCAAAATTCTCGGCTGTGATTGAAATGTCCGAAATGACTTCGCGAGCACATCCGGTTAAACTTGACGCTAAGAAGTGCATGCGACTGAAATTTGACAGCTCTTTATTTTGAATAATTAACGAATGAAATCTATCGCGAAAAGTCTCCCACTCCTCGATCTTACCGGTAAACGGCGGCAATGGAATTTGAGGTAAATGCTGCAACGATAGCGAAGACGAGTCGGAACGCGCAGCTACGGACGCAAACGATTGATTCGGACACACGGGTGGCTCCACTTCTTCCAAAACCTCGGCCATGTAGTCAAGCGCTGTCTGGAAGATGTCCTCGTGAAGGGCCAAAGCCCGCTCCGCTGCCGTCTCCTCGTTGGGAAACGCCTTGATGAACGCTGCATTACAATGAATGCACTGGCTCCAAAGTTCCTTGAGAGCGTTGATACGCGACCGCACTTTGGCCGGCGTATAATTGTTCTTGCCGATTTTCTTAAAGTTTTCGAGAACTCGGTCAACGCTCTGCAACAACAACTGCTGCCTCTCTCTAACGTCCGTCATCGTTACTTATTGTTGCCTGTGTACTTCTGCTCATTCAATCCGGCTCGAAGGACCACTTTGTTTTATGTCGCGGAAGCGAATTTGAATAATCGCGACAATGTTCACGCTGGTTCGTGCGTCGCGTGACACACTGAGTGGCGCAATAGGAGAGAGAGAGATAGGATAAAGTACAAATGAGTGAACAGCTGGTCAACTTTATTTCACACAGAACTTCCCCAATAAGTTGTCGAGAAGGGAATTCAGCTTGTCAGGCTCATTCGCGAATGCGTCAAATTTATAATTGAGTCGCCTTGCAAGCGATACCAAAGTCAATGCCGTAGGGCGATAACGGCGCGGACGGCTCCAAGACTTCGATCCGCACGGAGAGAGCGGCAGTCGGATGGCTCTCACAATGGCCGATAGCGGCGGATTTTCGCACTCAGCACGCCGGAATGAAGTGAGTCACCATCGAATGATCCTCGGAGCTTTGCACTCACTCTAACTATAATGACTCGCGTCGGAGCGCGGCGGTTATGCCAATCGAGAATGCGCAACTCGCCGCTGATGCGGAGCGAGATGATCGCCGCGATAATCTGGTGCCGCTCTGCCACGTGTTGCTTGCTTCAGAGAGCGAACAAGAAGAAAGAGAAGAAATCACCGCGTCTTTCCGGCGAAGCGTCTGTCAGGAATTAGTGTCAGAGCGAGCAATTGGGCGAGCATGACGTCACCCATTGATTAAGCGACCAGCTAATTGGTCGGCGACCACCTGCGCACGCGAGCGACGGGTCGCGCATCCCGCGAAATGCGCGGAGCCTTCGCAGGCTCGGAGCGTGGCGCCGCTCGGCGGAGCATTCCCGTGCCCCGGCGGCAAGAGCGCAACGCGCTAATGTTGCGCTCCCGGTCGAATCTCCAACAATATCTATCTCCTCACAAGTTCACATATTATACTTAAAGACCGAGTTGTTGCCGGTTCTATTTTTCTAGACATCTTCTTATCGGCCCTATGACATATCTTTTAAGCATGTAATTTAGACATAAAGCATTTATAAGCGGTAATTTTAAAAGTGGGCCTTATTTTGTACTGGGCTTTATTCGGCTCAGGTACCTTAGTAAATTTTGTATCTAAAAGATTTCAAACGTTTCCGTCTTTACAATACAAGAAAATGTTCCCGTTTATTAGCGAAAATATTATGTACAAGCTCCTAATTTCTTCCGATCCAGTTGTAACGATGCATCCCCCATCGTTCTGGCTAACACCACCCAGCCGAACGTCGCTGCATCGCTGATTGCGATGCAGTGATGAGGGTGCATAGCGCCCGATAAAATAGCAAACATAATTCGCAGGTACAAAGCGGCAGTAACGGCCGCGTAACACCGAGCACCGCCGATCGAGACCGAAGTAGAGCGATCGCCGCGGATTCCCACTTCTTGGGACTCAGACCCGAACACCGCAAAGTACGGGAAAACGCGAGCGAAAGCGAAAAACCACGAACGCGGCATTTTCGTTCGTATAAAAATGCCGCGTTACGAGAAAAGAGGTGATTCCTGTCCCGATCTGTTCCAGACAACGAATCCCGAAATCCTCAAAAGCCTACACGACACCGAGAAAACGGGCCAGAGCGTACTCTAGCTCCGTCGAGAGTTCTCGACAGGTCTCCAGTCAGGCATCCTAGTGCACCGAACGGCAAGAACCGAGGGGCAGAGTGTGCTCTGCCTCTGCCGAGCGTTCTCGGCAGCCGTCTCGGTGCAACGTGCAACAACCACTAACGCAGTATCCACCGCGCCGATTGCGATTCACGCACACGCGCACACACCCGCTCTGCAGTGTCAACTAAACACCGCACCGACTGCGCTTCGTACACACACAACACACGCACGCACACACACACACACAC